TTTTTTTGTTATTACCTAATACTCTCAGTTAGGTCTCTTCAAGAAAATCAATTTTCCCATTTCCTACAGACCGAACGTTCGATACATAACAAGTGGTAGTGAACATGCTGTGTTCAAAACACATTGTCTTCAACGAATTCAAAGATTATTTTCTCATTATTTTAGTGATATGTGTTTAAAGAGAGCTTCTCAGCTGCTACTTAATAGGTTCTGAGGTTATCTGTGATGTAGTTATAGGTAATGTGACTATGTATAATGTAGTTATAAGTAATGTGGCTATCTATGATGTACTTATAGGTAATGTGGATTGTTACTTATTAACCAGCATCTGTAGATACATTCAACATTATTTGTGTTTGATGAACGATCTCCGTATTCGGAGTGAGGCATCAAGAAACATACATCTGACGTAAGCAAAGTCAATCACTTTATGCCTTTCCGTCTCTTACATGGATAAAAATCCAATGCCTTCTAAACTACTTGTAGTTACCTACCTTTGTCTCTATCATGGTTCATAATTAATATCTAATCAATCTGTAATGACATGGATTGTTGGAATATTCACAGACAATACTGTGGTGACAAGTCATCAGTAAGGATACTTTTCTGTGCTAACCGCCTCCTTCCATCTTCTCTTGATCATATGCTCGTAGCAACATCGGTCCAGCCTTTGCATCAGACTGTAGAACTCTTAGTTCCGCGCATATTTTAGTTGGTGACCAATAAAGATGTTCAGTCTACTGGTAATATTATTCTGGCAGGTTTACCATTTCTTCATCATTCTCAGAACTCACATGACGCACTATCAGCGAATGATTCTCGTTAAGCTTCAATGAATATTCCTCACATCCTCTTTGCCTCTAACACCTTTTTCTAGTAGCTCTTGAGCAGTCAGGTCGTCAAGGTTAATCAGTAGGATTTCACCTTGACTACATGTTCAAATGCGGAGTTTTTGCCACACGAATTCTGAATTTTATATTTATAGAGTCAGCATTTCTGGGAAATGAGCCAATTCGATGTAAACTCAGCTTTTAGACTAGTAACAGGTGGTATGTAGGTTTCTTTTTACTTAGTGAAAAAAATCCAGCACCACCATTACATGTGTAGTTTTGTCTCTGTAAGACATTCATTATGGTCCGATGTGCTACTCTGCAGGACTCAAGCCAGTATGTGATTGCCTTAATTTACTCTGCCGATCTCACTCATTTATATTTTGGTGTAAATGGTGTGTGGCTTAACACTATCTGCCAGCTTCTTACTTTGGTCTAGGCCAGGTGAAACACGTTTTTGCCCAGACCAAAGAGCATGAAACATCGCGATGCTTTCCATTCTACGTCCAGGACTTCCGTTTATGAGAGCGGGAAAGAACCATCTGTAGATCAAGTGAGTTTCCACATCCCTCGTGAAATTTTCACTCATATTTCTAACTCATCCCATTCACTATACATATGTCTGGTAACTCAGAAAACCACTTTTGTACATAACAGTTTTTTTTTTTTTTTAGAATTTTCGCCCAAAGCTACACAAGGTTTATCTAGGCATAGTAGTCTCTAGTTCTGACCTGGAAGATAACCGAGAAGGCAGCTAGCCAACAGCAACAAGTTAGATTACTCTTGTCTGATCGAATGGTTGGATTTAATCGTCACTCTCAAGAGCGCATTTTTGCACCAACAGAACGTGAACCGTTGATCCTCTAATTCACAGTCCGAGCACGTTAATCATTATCCAACACCCGGCTTGTGCTTACCAGGATGTTGTACGTAGCCAACTTCTCTCAAGCATCGTATAAATGCAATCTAAATCGACTGGAGATTTAGATAGCATTGTTAACACTCTAACAAAATATTGGTTTTTCACTGATATTATTTCTTAAGGAAAAAGAGCGCACTACAAAAGTGCTAAAAACCATAGCAAATGAGACCTAACTGTAAAATCTGATTAACATAATTTCTAAAATATCAGTTCCAGTAGATAATGATCGTTTTAAATACATACTTTGGCAGGAGATTCATCATCTGGAAACTCTCCCATCAGACAAAGATCCACACTCACAACAACATTCTCAGTAAGCTGAACGTAAAGTAATGAGAAAAGCCTATTAACTTATATAACCATTACATGTTCTCTCCAGAAACTAAAAGATAAACAAGATGTAGATTTTTATTCCGCTGAAAGTAAAAGTTTTTTCTTCTGTAGTTGTCGGAATAATAACTTTGTGTTTTCAAAACCTTATTTACTTTTGAGTTAAATCGTATATAATATTCACTACTACAGACAGAAGATTTGGTCACTAAACAGAAAGATAAATTTTATCACAACGATAACTATGATGTTTTGAAATGGGTTTCCATATGTAATAAAAGGTATGTGTAAATTCCGTCCCTACTCCAAACCCGGAATCGTAATAGAGTTGCTGTTAAACAGAAGCCGCCCAGTATAAGTGAAAGTGTGTGATAGGGAGAACAAATATGCCCCTTGTTAAACAAGAGCCGTAATATTATAAATGAAAGTAGAGGGGAGTACTAGAGTAGATGAAGATAAGTAGTAAAAATAACCAATGGCTTCTTTTGTCTCTATTAGGCTTGTTTGAAACATATAAGCAATAATAATGATGAAATTTATGTTCTGACAGACATTTTGTCTTTGTCTCTAGCACAAGTTCTGCATATTCAGTAGAAAAGTATAAAGACTGTACTTTTCCGTTTATACAGAAATCGTATTAAGAAGCGGAATGCGCTTTATAAATACGTCAAACAGTCACTTTATTGTTAGCTTTAAAATCTTAACATTGACCTCTTCTACAGTCACTTTATTGTTAGATTTAAAATCTTAACATTGACCTCTTCTACAGTCACTTTATTGTTAGCTTTAAAATCTTAACATTGACCTCTTTTACA